GGATCTAGAACAAACTGACAGGAAGTAGGTTCTTCTCAACTAAAGTCTCACAAGTAAGGCCCTACTATGAAATCTTATACATTTTTCCCCCCAGATTCAGTCTTCTCCATTTTAATTTTTATTTTTTTTACATTTACTGTTATTTTAGTTGTAAAGAGTGTGCTTTTACAGTTTATGATTAATGTACATAAAATAGTTATGAGTTGACCTTAAGTTGTTTACCCCGGTCTGCATTTTTCCCCAGACATACGTTCTTCTCCCACACAAAAACAGAATTTTATTCCAAATATGCAAGTTCCACATTAACATTTGCCAATTCCGCAATTCCGTCATCATGGAAATTATAGGGCCCTACACAAGCAGTGCATTAGGGCAATCTAGAACACTGACCAGATACCCCTGGCGTCGGGCCAATCACGAGCCATCCCAGAGGCCAGCAGCAGGGGAGACACAGGCTTGTCGAACAGGAAATGGTCATCGATGAGCTGCTGCTGCTCGGCATCGGTCATGTTCTTCAAAGCGTAGTATTTCCCTTTGAGATCCCCAGACAGGTTACCCAGAGCTACAGCAGACAAACAAATCTGTTACTAATTCGGTTATCTTTAAGAAATCATTTCTTAGAAACATCCTAGACTACAGATTAAAATTTCTATGCAAGGAGTATTTATGTTGGTCTGGTCCAATCACACATGATAAGCCTCGTCACCACTAGAGGGAGTCACAGGACCAAATTTCAGAAACATAAGTGGTGAATCCCACACAACTCCAGCTTTATCGGACCAGCTTGTAGCACAGTTACATGAATCTTGTCACAGTAAACTCACCTGTCAATCATCTTGTCACAATTACCATTTTCATATACACACACTCTACTTTAATTAATTTGAAATATGCTACTCAATTATTCCAATGAGATTGGAGAGAAAATAGGCATTACATTGATCTGACAGTCATGGGTCTTTCATTCAGAAAGCTATCGAGTTTTTCATCAGGTTAGAGATAGTTTAAATAATTCTCAAAATCAAGCCTCAACTTAATTACCGGTCTCGCACTTTTCACCATGTTTTTTAGTTGAACACTTTAGATTAATGCTGCAGTGATATTTTAGTATCAGTATTAGTTGTTATTAATTCATATTTTAAATGAGTTTATTTTTATTCTAAAGTTTTGGTAATTGTATTGTGCGTCATAGTAGATAAAGTTAATTTTATGTTATGTCATGGTTCTCGTTTTAGTTAACTAAAATAACCCTGGTATGTAGCTGAACCAAACCGAATCCTCCTCCAAAGCACAATGGGTTGTAGGCAATATTAGCTGTTAAAGCGTGCATGGACGTGCAATTTCTAAAAAATCATATTTCATCCAATTACTTTTGGGACACTCATTTGAAAATACTACAGTTTGGGACACTAATTATAATTTCAAACACTATTTTTGTCATGTTTTAAATAAACCGATGTGGTGCTGCAGTGATGTACATGTACCTTCCACAGAGAGCTTCTCAACGGCTCTTCTCTCTCCACGACTGCAGTGGGGCGGCAGGCAGAACCCGCGGATGCTCCTGCCTGTTCTAACGCGAGAGCTCAGCACGTAATTGGAGTCGAGGTCATCCCCACCCTGCAGGAACAAAAAGTTTGTCTTTTGAATAAGCAAGATCACTGTATCAGTGATTAAATACAATAACAAAAAAAAAAAAAACTCATCCAAAGGTTGTATTTTGAAAATGTCTCAGCAGTTTTGTCTGTACAATTAAAGTGAGTGGGGTCTAATGTCTATGAGTGATTATCACTTCATCTTCATACCTTGAGGTTACTGGGGTTGAGGTCGGTCTTGTGTTTGTCTGTAGGCTTGTATCCTCCATGTCGGTCCTGAATAACAGGGTCCAACAGTTCCTTGAACACCTCATAGGTCTCTTCATCTCCAGCCACACAACCCACAGTCATAATGAAGGGGTGGCCTGAGATGGGGAAAAGGTCCATGTACACAAATTAGGAGCCATGCACCTCAGGCCGGCATCAGCTAAACTTAACATAAAGTGCTTTCTCTTAGGACTAAACCCTGACCCTGACAGACTATGCATGTTCTTTTACCAGGATTATCTACTCCAGTCTGAATGACGTTATCGATGGTGAAACCATTGGGTGTGCGGCGCTGACTGAGGCGTTTGTACATGTCCACAGTGAGGACTTTGGCCATATGGTTGCAGTGCTGCTCTGTGATGTCTGGAAACTCATCCTCAGCTGGTCGTTGCTGGACCCGCCTGGCTAGCTTAGTATTGCTAAATAAAGACAAAAATTAAAACTACACTTTGCTGCCAAAGGCTGAAGTGACCTGTTGGGTTCTGAATAGGTTAGCACCATTTGTCTCAAATACCCTGAGCATTCTTTCCTTTCAGAAAAGTGTTCATGACCTGGTTTAGGCCAATTGGATTTTATTATCCATACCAGGCAGGTTGGTCTTACCTATACAGGAAAAGATTTATTCAATGCCCTCTGCACTAAAACATGAGTCAGCAAGATCACAGTCAAAAAAACACAGCTATATTAGCACTTCTTCCTGATTGTAGTGTAATGCTCACATAACACCTATAGGTTCTAAAAGCGCACGAGAGCTGGTCTTTAGAGGACTTTGAGTTGCTTCAGGCCTTTACCTGGGTTATCTATCCCGGTCTGGATTACATCATCCAGTGTAAACCCGCTGGGTGTCTGTTTGGAGCGCAACTTCTCATACATCGCCGGTGTGAGGACCTTGGCCATATGGTTGTTGTGCTTGCTGAGGTCAGGGTATTCCTGGTCACAGGTGTTCTTCAGCTTCAGCTGGTTGTGACTGTTCCCGAAAGGCATGGCTGCTGTTCGCTGAGCGTGGTTGAATTGGGATGGAAAATAACGGTGGTTACACTGAATGTGAAACAAAGCCAAGAGGCATCCTTGGCTTTTCATGGAGATATGCATACAGTTGAAGTAGTATCTTATCGATACAAGATGGAACTACTTTTATGCACGTGATTAATGCTACATTTCTACACAAGTAACAACGGCAAATGATAAGTATGACCAATATGTGCTATGGTTCAACACAGAAATACTCATATAGGGTAGGGTACCTTTTTTTTTTTTTTTTTTTACAGAGACATTGTACTTAAATAATGAATAATTTGTACCTACATTAACAAAATAATGCTGTACAAATTTGTAACAATTTAAAAATTCTGCAAAATGTTACAAATTGCAATACTCGATGTCTCAACTGAATCCATAGCTTGACGAATGACTCTTATGAACCGATTTTTTTTAAGCGAATCAAACAGTGAATCAAACGCGGCCAGTGAAGTACGATGCCCAAATAAATAACTCCTATGTGCCGAATCTGATTCTTAATAACGTTAGTGAATCAAAGACGAAACACTCGGACCGGACTAATGTTAATATAAAACGTCTATGTACCTGTAAAATGGCAATTTAAATAATTGTTGATAATGAATTTCTGATTGGTTAAATTATTTTTCTTTTAAAAACATTAATGAAGCTCGTCAGATCAAATGATTCAGGTCCACATCTAACAGTTAGTCATCGTTGTGTCAAACTAAAAATGCACAAACTTACGATCGCTGCTATCGATCGTAGTCGTACTATCGTACTTCGGCTCAAGCTTTCTCTTTCGTTGAAGTGGAGCCGTCCAGTGGACGCTTTCGTTCACAAAAAGCAAATAAATATTCTGAAAATGCATGATAGTAGATCTCCACGATGCATTAAAAAGCCAGTCTTTCTGATCAAAAGGCGTATCTAGAACCCTTTAAATCGCTGTTTATAGCGTAACTTAGTTGCAATACTTTTTCCAAATACAATTTTAATTGCGATCTTGCTTAAGCGTCTACATTAACAAGATAGATGCAAACTACTTAATGAACACTCTTACCGTGGGTTGTTGTGGACTACTAGAACTAGAGGAACACTGAGCTGAGACAAAGATCCCTATTTTTACGGTTGGAGTGTAAACTCTGCGTGTCGTCCGTCTGTTCTCCAGCACCAGATAATGATGGAGCGTTTGTTTTATAGTACAGGAAAGCTGCTCCTATTGGCTGCTATATGCAGTCCATTCATCCAATTGGAAGATTCTGACACTGGAATAGTTTGACTGCTCTCAACAATATGTAATATATTATAAGATGTGCAAAAATGTAAGAAAATGATCTAACTTTAATTAGATTAAGTTATATAGTTGGTTGATTCCCAGGGTTTTGCATATATATATATATATATATATATATATATATATATATATATATATATGAAGAGTTCAGATGCAAAAGCCTCTAAATGCCATTTGATATTTTCTTCTTTAATGATAATTTTTATCAAACTTGTATATTTAAGTTCAGTAATTTTAATTTATTGGCAATGATAATTACCTATTAATTGTTATTGGGATTGGGAATGTCTATAGATTGATATGTAATTAATAAAAAAGGTAAAGAGAAAAGAAAACAAATGTATAATGCATGCAAGTCGTATATGCCTTACAGTTTGTATGGTGAGACCCCACTTATTGATTGTTTTTGTTGTTTTATGGATTATAATGCAAACTATAATCTGACTTCAAATAATATTGTGTCAGTATTTACTCACCCTCTAACGTTAGTTGTTACAAACCTGTATGATTTTCTTTCTTTGAAACATTCTTCAAAATCTCTTCTGTTGAGTGTTCAACAGAAGAAAGAAATCCATACAGGTTTAGAATAACTAGAGTAAATAATATGTGCACTAACGTTATACCTTTAACAGGAGTGCATCTCTGATTTGAATGGATAACGTTACTTCGGCCTGACTAACGTTTGGAAACACTTTCCTGGTTCATCTAAATAAATAAATTACAAAAAGCACATTTCTATTTGGTTTATCTTGACGTTTAAGCAAAACAGATACTGTTCCTTTAAATACTCTTACATCATTTTTCTGAGCCTGGTTGTGTTGTGGGGGGTAGACGTTTTGCGACAAGCTGTAGATTCGTATATGGCGAGCAACCCGTTCACATGCGTTTGAGTCCATCCAGATGAGGTAAAGAGCCGCTCTGTAGGACGGACCGCAGCTGAATACATGCGGGTTATCAAGCAAACTAGCCGGACACACGTGTTGTACTTTCTTTCTGCTCTTTCCCTAATATAAAATTATAGAAACGGTGAGTTTTTGAGTCTTCCTTTATGTTAAATAACGTTATATCTTTATGTCGAACGATGCGTTCGGTCAGACATGTCAGTCACATTTCGTTTCCACCAATGCTAACGGTTAACGTTAAATGTGTTTAAGTTAACGTTACACTTTGAAAAACACGATGTAACTTAGCCTAATGAATGCTGTTTTTAAAAAGTGTTATTTCACAGTCAGTGTAGCCCTCTTGTAAACACGATTTTTTTAAAAAAATATTCAGATAAGTAATCGATGGTTTTTAATGAAACCGTGTCATTGTGTGCTCTCATTCAATCGAAGTCGCTTCAGCGAATCCGTTCCTCCTGTTCATCTCATTTATGACAGTGACCTTGCTGAATCTAATAACGTTACGTAAAATAACAGAAATGTTCATAGATATCAGAAAGCGCCTTAATAATAGATTAACTTACATATTTCCCATATTTTTGCTGGTCTGAACTGTCTCCGGACTGCGTTTACAGAAGGTGCTTCAGGTTGGTAACGGTCACTAACGGTTTACTACTACGTTAACGTTATTTAAAGGTGCAATACCTAAGATCTAGATGCCGCTAGAGGGCGCTACATTCAAAACAACAACAACGGCTTTGCTTGATGACGCCGTGGAGGAACGCGGAATGATGGGAACTGTTGTTTTCAACTCCACCGTGGATAAATCAGTCAGACGGGAATCGAAAATTAGTTGTCATGGATGAGGTAAATTTCGATTTCTATAAACGTTGCGTTTAATGACATGCTTGTATTTCATTAAACTGAAATAACCGTGCAAGAAAAGTCAGGTTTAAAAGTAAATTAGTTATCACAGATGTTACTGTACGAGTCACTGGACGAAGCTATGGTGGAGAGGGTTTGAAGGGGCAGGTCTCTCGCAAGGAGTTGACGTGGTTGGCTCTCCTTGGTAACTTTATAAAAATAAAAAATCAATTTAATGTCAGTTATCCCAACCTGCAAGAATTCATTTCCGGGAGGTATATTTCGATAACAAGATTGTGGGGGTGGGAGGGAAGGCTAACTTTCGCGTTCGCGAGGCACAAACGCAAAGTCTCTCCCTCTGTACAGTGCACGCGCAGCGCGCTGTATGTTATGCGCGCAGTATGTCTCGCTCTAACATTATATCCCGGGAGATTTGAACTAATTTGCGGGCATCAGGGAAACGCTATCAATATGCGGGAGATCCGGGAGACTTGGGATGTCTGCAATGTACATTTGACACATCTTTTCATGTCGTGTAAGTATTCAACCACAGCTACAGTTTCACAAAATTAACGTTAAGGGGGTCGCACACCGGACGAGAAGCTGCAGCGCCGCGTTGCACCACATAATTATTCGAACACATTATTATCTATAAGTGTACACATACCGGCGGCGCCATTCGGCGTCTGTCCGCGGCGCCCAGCAACGTTTCAGGACCGTGTTCAAAACCCTGCTGCGCCACAGAGCGCCATTTACATAGTTTTATATAAAATTGTAATTATTTTTGCCTCAAACCGTTGCTAATGGATCCTGACTTTGCCCTATGCTGCAATATCTATGCATTTAGTTTTGCAGTCATTTACAGAAATCAGCTGCTTGAATGACAATTACTGATTATTATTAGATTTTTCACGTGAGATTCTCAATTCATTCTGTGAACGGATGCTCTGAGGTAAAGTTTTCAGAATGCAGACTCAGCAACGATTGTATTTAATTGTACAGTACAATAACATAGAACAGACATTATCTTCATTTTCTGTCATTAAACATAACAATATTGCTGGCCATACACTGATGAGAAAGTGCGCGTCCGGTGTTCGATAACGTTACTGGAGTTGTCCTAAACGTGACGCGGCGCTTCTCGTCCGGTGTGCGACCCCCTTTACAGCCAACAGTTCACATTCCGAGAATAAATGAAAAGAATATATGTGCTCCATTCCATAACAAATGCGCGAAACAAGCTGCCGTTTGATAGGCGCTAACGCACAACTACAACTACCGCATTTGTCCAGGACTACACGTAGTAAGAGCGGAAACCGAGGTAAGCGGATATGACGCGATTTACTCGCGACTCCCAGCTCACCCCTGCTGACACGTGCCGTTTCCTTGGTTAAAATCTCAATTTTCTCGCGATTTAAACATTGTTTGAAACATTTGGAATATTGTGAGTTATCATCTTTACTAAATATATAACACTGGCCTTGTGATTTTGGGATATTTTAATGCAAAAATCTTAGGTATTGCACCTTTAAATAAAAATTCCCACTTACTGGATTTTAAATTAGTTGACGTTCGTGTTTTTATTTGAGATCTTAATATATTGGGTAAAATATTAAATCTTTATATTTGTAAACCGTTTACTTTCAGTACAATATTAAGTTTGTTTTTATTTTAACTTAATTTTAATTTATTATTACTTTTAACTTTCAAGTGTCTTTATTTTTACGTTTCTGTTTAATATTTTTTGGCAATATTACTTAAAAGGGAAATAATTTTTTTGGTAGGCTATGTTTTAGCTTACCTCGCTCAAGGGCATCCAAGATGGTGTCTTTGTTTCCCCAGTAGTTTCAATTTTGATATTTTTAGGTCAAACCGTTGTTGTATGTCAGTCATATAATGGAGGTCTACGGGGTCCACCTCAAAGAGCATGCACAGAAAAGTCCAAATTAAACATGTTTTAATAACTCGTAAATGTAAGTACACATTGATGGCCTAAGACACGAAAAGAGCGGTTTGTGTGAGTAAACAAACAGTAGGCCTATTTATATCGTTTTTACCTCTTGTAACCACAGCCACGTCCAAGTGATCTGAGGGTGCGGGCGCTTTGTGGCTGTGGTTACAAGAGGAAAAATTATATAAATACTGTTTGTTTTCTCACACAAACTGCTCTTTTCGTGTCTTAGGCCATCAATGTGTACTTACATTTACGAGTCATCATGTTTTAATTTTTAATTTCAAAGTGAACTATCCCTTTAATTACTTTAAACAAAAGCCATAAGAAGTGTCAACAGTGGAATTTTGGTTTGTCTCTCTAAAAGTGCAGAAATGAGTTTGGCAGGATTTTAAAAGCATGACAGCATAGCTCTTTATTGTCATACTGTTTATAATTGTCTGTCTGTTTTATGCTTCTTTTTTTATCAACACAAATGTATATTTTTTAAAGATGGGAATATCCTAAATATTCCGTTTAGTCTAAGACGTAATATGATGGAAAATAAATATTAATATAAATGTTGTGTCCATTAACATTAACTGTGTGTTTTCATTTATGACAGACCAGCGTAATCGAATCATCCACACTTTTCGGTGAAGTTGATACCCAGCTGTGCCTCATGAGTTTTGTGGAATACTCCGAGTTCATCCAAGAAGGAGATGTTGTCATTATCTTCCAGAGTCATGATTCCATGATGCCAATCAAAGTTCAGTCAGGAGCTCAGACGCAGACCCGCTATGGGGTTATCCGGCACACCAGCGACCTGATTGGACATCGCTTTGGTACCAAAGTGACTTGCAGTAAGGGTGGTTGGGTTTATGTGCTGCACCCCACACCAGAACTGTGGACTGTTAACCTTCCCCACCGAACACAGATCCTCTACACGACAGACATTGCCAACATCACACTGATGCTGGACCTCAAACCGGGCTCTGTCGTCTGCGAGTCAGGTAAGAATCAAAGGGTTTAGGGCATTTGAATTTTTAGAGATCTTCTATAGTACAGTCTTATCCTTGCTGTAGCAAGGAGATCCTTGACTTTTGGGTGTCAAGCAGGTGAACTCAATTCATATATAAACAGAAGGACACTTCATATTCATATTTTTCTGATGGAGGTTTGATCAATGAAAGTGCTCCATATAACCCTAATGCAATGTAACCCCTACTCTTACAAGGCTCAGAGACAGCTCAGCCTGTTCAATGCAGCTCACTTTTCTCCAGTGTACTTCTGATATCCACCCTACTGCAAATCAAGTAAATCAAGTCTGAATGGAAATTTGTTCAGACGATTTATTTTAGTGACCAAACTCCATCGCACACCTGCAGGTGATAGGTGCGTCGGGTAATACGACCAGCTAGTCATTCAAGCAGATAAGGAACTCCCGCACACCATCATTACTTGCACTTTTCAATCAAGTTTATTCACACACAACGTTTCAGTCACACGACCTTCGTCAGGAGTATACAAAATGTTCCGACATTGACGATTTATTTTAAAATACTGAATTCAAATAATTTTTGTTCAACACACTAATGAAAGTACTGTATATTGTCCCTGCAGGTCCTTAAAAAGTTTTAAATTAATTTTTATCAAAAAAATTTTTTCAACTGTCTTTATATATCAATGCATAATTAAAATGTAAGTAAAAAATCGATCGTCTGTAGTCCTCTCAGGGCTTCAATAAACACAATTCATTATTCCATTCAGGACGAATGAAATGATTGGCTGGGCGACTGCTACCATGGCTACCACCACGTTTGGCTCAAGGAGGTGAAGAGGGAAGCTAGTAATAATAACAATTATGGCAGAGAAAGAGCATTCACAATTCTCAGTACCTGCATATAGAGTCAGCGAAGGCAAACAAGACACAGCTTTGGCTATTGAGTTATTTTCATCTAAAATAACTCAATAGCCAAGCCAAAGCTGTGTCTGACAGCACGCAAATACTGAATTGAGCTCTTTTTCAAATCTTCACACAAAATTGTCAACATGCCTGTCTTGGCGAGTATCCTAGTAAACATAGTCAATTACGAACGTAAACGGTCGAGAAAGAAAACGTGTATCAGTATTATGGATCTGTGCATTGTCTTAAAGTGACATCAGCCTAATTTAACTGCTGCTGTCTGTTTTTAATGTTAATCAAACAATGAGACTCACTGCAAAAAATCACTCAATGCTCTTGACTGAATAACTTTTGTAATTTTAATAAGGATCCATCTATTTAATTTATACAGTGAAGACTATTCAGTGTTTTTACATTTGATTATTCAATTTCTGTGCCTAATCTACCTAATCTGTATCTAACTACTGTTAGATGTACATGAAAAAAAATGAAAAGCACTGTTTATTTAATTTGCATCTTTGTTCTATTGTGTTTATTTGTGCTATTGGTTAGTGGTTTATTGGTTCTTATTTTATTACATGTTTATTTGACTTTAATAGTAAAATTTATATTTAAATTCTATATTTATGTAATTTGCATTGTTCTTGCATTCCATGTAAAAAAATTGTACTAGCCAATGGCAATTTGAGCTTCAGCGTGTCCATAGGGTAGGGTTGCAAATAAAAGTTAGTCCACATAAGGTATTGTTGTTCATTGCAACGGTAACCACTTGCGTGTCCGGGTTTAAACACACTTCTTGAGTATGAAAAGTATCTGTACACTTGACGGGTGCCAAAATCGCAAGAAAAGCTTGATGTGTTCTGGCAACAAAACATTATGCAAGGCAAGCATGTTCTCTTTGTTAGGATGTTGATATAGCAACTGTTCAAGTTTCATTCTTCCCGTTTGTCCTTTAATATCGATATAAAATTTCATGCTGTATTGTCCATACAAAACCGGTAGTATAACAACAATCCTATAAGCAAGCTTAATTATATGCTGGTTTAACATGACATAGAAGAAAATAGAACGTTTTTGGCTGTTGAAATACTCCCTTACCTTGCTCATCCAAGCGGACATTTCTCTGAACTCAGGTGATTTTTATTTTCTGCTCCAGATATACACTTTTCAAAATAATATATTTATTTTAAAATATAAAATTAATTTCAAAGTAACTTTTGTAAATAAAAACAAAACATTAAATGTGAAAACTGTGTCGACTAGCAGCAGCAATATTGTTTAATCAACTATTAGTCACTGGGGTTAATAACATTTATGAGTCTTCCCCTACCATCCGAGGGAGAAAAAAAATATCGCTCCCCAGATGTAGATCTACATTTTGCTTCGTTTCGCTCGGACATTTAACGGTGTGTACATACACACGGAATCACTAACATTTAACGATGTGGACATAAACGCATACACGCGAATAGCTCAAAATGCGTATAGGTAACACGCCACTTGACTTGAAAGTGGTGTGCATGTTTACGCAAAAGTCATGATGTCATGTTGCTCTTATGGATGGATGGATGGATAGATTTTTCTGAGCTCACTGGCAGATATTTGTTGTGCACCTTGAAACAAGGTGTGTTGTGAAAAGTGCAATACAAATAAAACAGACTTGTCTAGTTGAAGTGGGCAGAGTAGGCTCGGCAGAGATGAGATGGAGAGGAGACTCTTTTCAATTTGGCTCTTGTATTCTAAATGAATCCATTAAAGGCTGTTGAGCGTGCACACGCACACACAAAACACACACTCTGCTCTGTCCTCTGTGCCCTCCCAACTCATTGAGCTGGACAAGCAGATATCAGTCCTCAGATATCAGATATAGATTTTCCCTTAGATATCAGTGCAGTGTTCAGGACAGGTGAGTGTGACTGTCCCACAGAATTGGTACATGTGCAGGCTGAAGTTTGTTTCAAGGATACTATTGGATATTTCTTTTGGAATAATTCAGTGTGTTCTTTCTCTCCTACTGAGCCTCTCGTTCTTGCGTCACTCACTGTTCTATCTGAATGCAACGCTGTGCACTAAACATTGACCCTATTGTTGCCATGAGAACAAAAGCATATTAATGGGTTCTTGAAGAGGAAGATGGCCCATTAACACCAGAGCTTGCTCACATGCACGACACGTGTATCAGAATGTAAATGTTCATGGACACGTATGTTATTACACATGCATACATGCATGTGCATAATTTTTGATTAAGGTCAATATAACCCTAATAAGATGCTTTTTGTTTTTGGAATATTCCACATGTTAGTAGTAGCCCAAATACTAACTTAAAACATGTATTTGATCTAATCAACAATCTGATTTCACCAACATGAAATACAATCCATGTACTTGTTTAGATTCAAGATGAATGGCGTGCTCAATTGTCATTTTTGTAATAAAGACATTTTAATTAAGGAGTGCCATGTACTTTCTTCTTTGAGGTTAATATGTTGTGTTTGTTGCAACAAAAATTTATCGCATCTGTCAACTATCATTCTGACTGTCATCAGTTCTGGAGGTATTCAACTCAGTGAAGAAAGTACAAGTATACTGTTTGGGGATTTCTAGGCATTGTATTTCATGGCCCATATTTATTAATCTTGATTTCTCACAACTTTTGTGCTTTTTCTGGGCAAGTCGGAGTGATCTGTGGTGTTAATAGTCTCACAAATGCATACGTTGAGTTCACATCGAGGTCAGGATTTTTGTTAAATAATGCATTCGGTTTGTTTTTCACCAAACCCTATCGTATAGACCATTTCAGAAGATGTAAACAACACTGGTCCAGAAACACTTCCTGTTTCAGTTTGTAACTGTTTTCTTTATTTCACATGTAAAGAAAACATCTTAAAGATGTTTGTTTAACTTTTTGATTCAGTTTTAAATGTTCTGTTGGTTGTATTTTATCCCAGCTTTTGTGTAGTGTTAAAAAACTGAAACAGGAAGTGCTTCTGGACCAGTGTTGTTTACATCTTGTGAAATGGTCTATACCCCCAAAACACTCGTTTATATGGCCTGTGTGGCATGGGACCTGTTGTGTGATACTTTTACATCTTTTTTTTTTTTTTTTTTTTTTTTGAAAAGTGTGATGCTTGTCACTATTCACTGCCATTATATGGACTAGCCCGAGCTGGACTTTTTTTTTTTTTTTAAGAATTTTAATTGCATACAGTGTTAGAGCAACAGAAGGGTCAGTGAATGATGATCATTTTAATTTTAGCGGGTGAACTAACCCGTTAATGTGGTTATAGCAATGAGGTGAATGAGTTTACATTTATACTTGTATATTTGGAACATGACCAGATTTTAATTATATTATTTAGTGTCTGAAAAATTGAAATTCTGGAAAAAGTGTAATTTGATATTCATTTTATAATCTCAAACACTGATCACTTATTTCCAGTAGTGGGCTTGTTATAACAGCAGATTTTGTGTGTGTTTTCCAGGTACAGGCAGCGGCTCTCTGTCTCACTCTATTTTGCGGACCATTGCTCCCACCGGTCACCTGCACACAGTCGAGTTCCACGCTCAGCGAGCCGAGAAGGCCATCCAGGAGTTCAAGGAGCACAAGGTGTCTCACCTGGTTACTGTTAGAAACCAGGACGTGTGCGCTGAGGGCTTCGGCATCACAGGATTAGCTGATGCGGTCTTTTTAGACATCCCTTCTCCGTGGGAGGCAGTCACACATGCCAAGAGGGCCTTGAAACGCAAGGGTAAGAGTACACAACTCAAATAACTAAAGAGACATTACCATATTAATCCTAAATGGCATGTGGTTCACTGTCGCCATGACTTGAGTTTGAGTCTTCAAATCACAAGCTAGATGCTACTGAATACTACAGTGACCTTTGAACACTTTACAGGCGTAAAGTGGTGTTGTTTTAAAATTACCAATATGCACACACTTACAAAAAGTACTTTTAAAAAAGGTAGTTTTAAGAATACCATAGTAACATCACACATTTCCACACAAGGGACAAGGTTAAAAAAAAAAGATGTGTAATAAACTTGTCCAAACAAACAAAGGCAATCCAAAGAAACAAACAAAACAGGGAGGGGTCAGAGGCAAAAGAGTAATCCAAGGAACAGGCAAGAAATCCAAAAACCAAGAGACATAAAACCAGGGAAAACGCTCGGAAATGTAGTGCAACAAAACTTTACGGTGAGTGAATGAGTGAACAAGGTTTAAATAGGCTGAGACTAAAGGCCATTGCACACTGAGTCCGAAAGTTTCGATTGCGTTTTTTTTGTATTTGTGATTCGGTGGCTCTGAATTTTCAAAAAAACATTCAAACTGCTCGCTACGGATGTGAAAAACGCAGAAAATCAAACCCGATTTTCAGGCGTGATTGACATAACGTGAGGTCGTATTTATTTTTTAACGTGTGGAAATTTCGGACGCGAATTTCAGACTCAGTGCGCAATGGCCTTAACAAGGTAATGACTAATGAGACACAGGTGAATGCAATCAGTGATGATGAGTCCGGGCAGTGAGTTATGGGAAATGTAGTTTGTGAGGGAGTGATAATAGTCTGTGTGGAGTGCCCTCTGGTGGCTCTTAAGGGCACTGCATACGCCTAAAAACTCCCCTCATCTGCCATTGGCCTCAATGAAATGCCCAAATAACCTCTATGGATCAATGAGAGGTTTGGGGTGAGATTCCTAATTCTTAAATTGTGAATTTCTTGTTTAAATTTGTGTAGGTTTTCATCTCATTTATTGAGGCAGCTTCTGTGAATCATAGACAGAGGCCTCTTGTTCTGCATAATTACATCTTAGTTTTGTGCCAAAATGATGTCACACTTCACTTTGATTACTTCACTTTAATTAATCATGAAAACTTTGGCTTGAGTTTGCCCAGCTCGAATAGATTTCATAGTTTTTTTGTCTGTGGTTTCTCTGATCATTCTGTTGGAACAACTTATCGAGTGGGCATGTCAGAAATGGTTTCTTCAGAAGTGACCAGACCACTTGGCAAGAGGCTGTTTCCATGGGAACTACAACTCACTTTGCCCTACTGGGCAGGCCTAGACTAGTCTGTGTCCCAGTAAGGGGTCAGCGTGTATTAATTATCCCCCCTTGTGTATGAATTATTCCCCTGTGTCAGTAAAGATGAATTTTCATAAAAATATAAAGCCCTTGGCTTTTAACCCATAACTCTCCTGCCTTTGTAAAGGTTAAAACCTTTGATGTAGTTGATTTTTTTTATTTTTTATTGGTTCTCTAATTTAATACATTTTTGATAAATGGGAGGTTGACCGTAACCAAAATGTTTTTTAATTAAATTTTTTTTAAATGAATTATTTAGGTAAAATTTAAAATTAATTTAAAAACACGTACAATAACTTCATACAGTAAAGACACTGCTGTCATTTTTCATTTCTACACAAACACAAATTTGTCTACAAGCATCTAAAGAACTGCCTTGGCGGAGTATAAGATTTCCAATTTCCACCAGGAGATCCTCTCTTGTCTCATTATAGTGGAATGTCTGCAGTGCTCTACGGTACACCCCCTTAGAGACTCCGATTTGTAATATACACACACACAGAATGTTTTGCTGGCAGGGTAATAATGACCATAAAGGGGCATGCGGTGAGTCTTCAGTGAGCATGGGCAAGGCTCTGGAATTCTCATACATTTGGTGACCTCTTTTCCAATTCTTTTGACAAATTGACGAACTTGTGCATTACTTATCAGGAGTTCAGTGAAGAAAAATTTAACATGACTATTAAACTTTGGTTAACTCCAAGCCAGTTGTCCTTGACTACTGACATGTTTCTCACAACTTGTACATTTTATTGCTATTATGCAACATTCAGAGTGTGTAGTGATTTGAGCTGATTCTTTATCCTGCCTGTTTCTTTTTTTCTTCTCATTTTTGGCCTTTCAGTCTTGATATTCAGATTAGAGAGTGCTCAGAGAATCCGAGCTGTTGGCGTGACTCATTTCTTACTCGGACCCCTGTTGCCAGGAGACCTGATGTCTATGTTTATGACTGTGTTTTCATGCAAAGGCCTTATTTTTCAATGGAATTGCACAATCACAATCTCTCTCTCTCTCTCTCTGTCTCTCTCTCTCTCTCATACACTTTACAACATTGTAAATGTTTATGGAGTTAGAAAGACTGGCCATCATGACATGCACAAACCAACTGAGGATCACATACTACCACACTTTTAAGTTGTCCCAAACAAATCAAACTTATAGAAACATCACTCAAACTATCAAACATGTTTGATATTTTCCAATCAATGTCTTCTGATAAACTGCCATCTAAATGTACAGTAATCCATCTAAAATCCAAATACTTTTCCCCCAATCTGCAGTCTGGAGTCAATGCTAGTTGCCAAAAATCAAAGCTGTTTTGCTGCTTTGAAATGCATACTCAAAGCTGTTTTGCTGCTTTGAAATGCATATTTTATTGTTATTACTATGGTAAGTACACGTAACGTGTAACAAGGACACTGTAAAAAAAAAAAAAAGGTGTTACCCAGAGTTGATATTTAAACAATTAGTTATAAGAGGCTTTATTGTGATTTAGAATTATATCTGGATACTTTAGATTTAAAAAGTTAAAAAGCTTAAAAAGTTGTCCCGTATATCGTCACCTGTACTCTATTGCAGATTTTAGGATGGCCTGAACGCTGTATCAGCTTTGAGGACCTTTTTTATAAAAGTATTTTTTTAGGCACCAAGTGACTTTGGATCCCTGATGCATCCCTGTGAAAATTGTCAGGCTCAAGAGAAGAGAGTGAGACAGTTCTGCATTGCTTTCCTACCATGGTTCCCATTCATTGTAGTTCTTTAGCGAATGTTGAGAGTGAAGGAAAGGGTCATGCTGGATTAAGTGAATGTGATTGGATTGAGTCTAAAGACAGAATGGTAGAGTAAACTATACCCATTAAGGTCTCTTTCTCATACTTCTCTCCTCACAGCACCCTGTCTATCTTCTTACTCTGATCAGCAGTGGCTATTTTTGTGCATGTAAGTAATACCACCTTAAGCCCAAATTCCCTCCAATCGTGTTAGTGGAGCAAGATGGCAAAGGAGTAGAAGAGATTGCTGTTTCAATTTTACTCCTCTATTTAACATGTTATTATGAAACCGTTTAACAGTAAGGCAACAATATGCAAACATGTGCATGTTGGCCGATCTCTAACCCTTAACAGCTTAGTGAGTTATTGGTTGCTTCCAGTAAGCCTGTTGTGGAACCATATTCTTTGACATCACTTCCTGATTATTCTCAGCAGTCCTGCATGAAATCTGCACCCACAGAACTTTATTTGTTGAACAGCCTACTGGGTGTGATGTTGATGATTTTTGGGCATGGCTACCTACAATGGTAATTGGGGGGGTGGGGTGTACTCGTTTCCTGTAGCAACTCATTGCAGTACACGAGATCCAGGGGGCGGAGTTGGATCCAGATCTAAGGGGTGGAGATGGGTAGGATTAGGGGTGGCGTTAGGGATCAGGTGGTGGAGATGGGTAGGGTTAGGGATCAGGGGACGGAGATATATATGTGGATTTTGTGTTCTGCAGTTAGGACCATCTCTGATTTTCCCCCACGTTCCGGGCCAGTGCATGCGTGCGTCATTTATGATGCAACTTTTTGTTTTGAAGAAAACAAGAAGAAAATGGTTTCATTTACTGACTGCCTAATTTATAATGTATGCCTCAGCGCTATTTACACTTGATAATTTAGAATTATTACTGCATGAAATTTTTGGAACTACTAAAGAACATTGTTGAGGTCAAATTTGTTTTAAAAGACCTGAGCAAAAATGTTTCTGTTCCTCGTTGCTCATTTCAAGTTTCAGGTTTGATTTGACGTCAGCCACAAGTGTGATCCTTGGTATTTGATAAGGTTTTACAAATAGTAACGCTTGTTGCTGTCAAACAGGGAGGTTCGTTTAAACTACTAATAAACAGCTATTCATGTTTGCACCAAGTGTAGCACAAGTGCTGGAGACTTGTGTATCTGCTCAGTGGTTTGATAAAGAACAGATGCAAACTTGTAGACAGACATAGTGAGTCACAAAGATCCAAATTACATTCATACAAAAGAGAAGTTTTGTGGAATTTTCTAAATCATAGAATGAGTGGCATTCTCCAGTCTCAGGAGACCATGGATCACGCCGGATGAGGAACACCGGTGCAGCGTCAGTTCTGACTCAACAGTCCAATTCAGGAGTGGCAGTCTCTGCCACAAAACCTGCAGGTGAAAGATGCATTGAATTTTTTTGCATTAGTTTGTCTGCAAGTTGGCAACACTGGCCCAGTCTGTTGTTTTACACTCAAAAAAAGAAACTGAAGAGATGGAACAATAAATGTGTCTTCTGACGAACATTTGAGTTAGTTTAAGTGAGACATGCCACTAGTTTATTAGTTTACTTTCAAATGAAAATTAGCCAATGATTTACTCACACGCCTCAAGCCATCCTAAGTGTATATTTTTTTGACTTTCTTCTTTCAGACGAATACAATCAGAGTAATATATATATATATATATATATATATATATATACTTTATATATATAAAATCCTGGCTCTTCCCAGTTTTATAATGGCAGAAACCAACAGATTGCAACCAACAGATTGAAGCTCAAAAACGTGCATCCATCCATCGTAAAGAACTCTAAACGACTCATGTGGGTTAATAAAGGCCTTCTGAAGCAAAACGATGAGTTTGTGTAAGAAAAATATTAATCTTTAACATGTAACAAAATACATTTCTAGCTTCCGGCCAAATGGTCAATGGGCTGCTATATGCACGCATAAGTTCCGCATTTCACGCAAGGATGCTCAACAGTTTCCGGTTGGGATGATTAAAGCGGAGGAAAACCGAGGAAAACAGGATTATGGCAGAGTCTTCAAAATTTACTGTCCTCCCGTCTTTGAAACGAAACGTTCATAAAGATGTAATTTTATATATAGTTATGTTTATTTAATATAATTTTAAAAAGAAGCATGAACACAACGAGGGCTGTCTGTTTTATCTGTTTTTGTGATTAACGTTTCTTTAGCATAACCATGGAGTATAAAATTCAATATAATTTCTCGGTATTGCATTGGACTCTACGATCGGCGGAAGTTATCGAGCATCCTTAAACCTTCACCGGAAATACCGCCGTGCATAGAGCCCATTTGACCGTTTGCTTGCTCCTAATGCGCAACTTTCGAAATTGATGTCATCAGAAGTAGCGTAAATATCAGTAGTACATCACATGATTACATCAAATTACATTTGGACGCATGTTTCTGAGCTTCAATCTGTTGGTTGCAATTTACTGCCTTTTATAAAATAAATTTTTGAGCATCGGTCGGCTTAGGATGCCGTCTGGGTTTTTTATGCCGAATCAGCGTGTTGGATCGAACTCAACTTGGCGAGTTCTGTTCGGTTTAGCTTAGGCTCTTCATCTTAGCGAACTAATCAGTGCACGAGAATAAAAGCGAAAGTGATGAAGGCGAGCAAAGACGTCAAGACGGCACAGACAGAAGGCTGACCTGAGCATTCGAATCCACAAATATTTTCATTACCGACTGGAATAAAGAAAGTGATCTACATCATTTATATTCAAAATCGTAAGCAAGCGCTGCTTTGTTCTACAGTTTGTATATCTGCAGTCCTAGTTTCAGTTTCCCTTTTTAAATGATGAAAATGGATTATAGATACCTGCTGATATAGATGGATATTACTTGGGATGAATGTAACATGTTGTCTGTGAATTTTTTTAATAATTTCTCATGTAACGAGTTTGACAGTATAGACCATTTCACAAGATGTAAACAACACTGGTCCAGAAGCACTTCCTGTTTCAGTTTGTAACTGTTTTCTTTATTTCACATGTAAAGAAAACATCTTAAAGATGTTTGTTTAACTTTTTGATTCAGTTTTAAATGTTCTGTTGGTCGTATTTTATCCCAGCTTTTATGTAGTGTTAAAAAACTGAAACAGGAAGTGCTTCTGGACCAGTGTTGTTTACGTCTTGTGAAATGGTCTATATTTTATGATTCTTTGGCTAGCAGTTGTGGAATAGACATAACGAGAAAGACTACACGTCGCATTTTCCCTCCACAAATCACGATTTTCACCACGCTCAACTAGTTTATCCTCTCCCTGAAAGAAGGCGGTGAAAGACACAGGCATGTTTAGCGGGATCCGTGTGCTAGTGGGTGTGACGTATATCAAACACGTTGAAAGAGTTGTAGTCCACAAAGTGCTCTCACACAAAGTCTAACCATATTAAAAATTCTACCCGCTAAATTGTAGCATTCTTTACACAAAAAATTATATAGAAAATTCACAGACAACATATGTTCACATTCATTGCAAAATTCAAACGGTATTAGAAAATAATTATTTTCTCTCATTCACTTGCATTGACGATTTTTCAACCTAGAGGTCCAACGGGGTTAGCTGAAGGGGCGGGACTTACCAGCTCTATAAAATACCTTTACTTTTAATAGTGCACTTCAGGCTTTACTATGATAATTAGCTAATATGCTAATAATACTAAAAATAAGGATCAATGCTTTTCTTTTTCACTGTCTTCAGGAGGTCGTCTCTGCTCCTTCTCGCCGTGTATAGAGCAAGTCCAGAGGACTTGTGAGGCTTTATTGAACCATGGCTTTGAGGAGATCTGCACACTGGAGGTTCTGCTGCGGGTGCATGATGTTCGTTCTGTCACTCTGCCCTTACCAGACTTTGGACCAGAGGAGTGCTCTACTAACAGCACACAGATGGCTTCAGATCTTAATCAAGTGGAAGTCCCAAACACTGGGAACACCTCCGTAATCTGCAGGACTGCCACACCACCAAGAGAAATGGCAGGACACACTGGATACCTCACCTTTGCTACCAAACCACGCGACTAGACGCATCGCTGAAGCCGACCACAGAGGAGACTGTTGTAGAGTGTGAGTAACGCAGACTTGCTAAATGTCATGCAATGACACACCCTCAATATCCAGGATGCCCAATCTTGTTCCTGGAGATCTTCGTTCCTGCAAAGTTCAGCTCAACCCTGATCAAACACAACTGAACCAGCTAATTTAGATCTTCAGGAGCACTTTATAATACAGACTGGTGTGTTTGATCGGGGTTGGATTTGAACTCTGCTGGTGGATGGATCTCCAGGATCAGGCCTGCGGTCTTGTTTAGCTTCATTTAGATATAAAAGAGTGGTTAACAGCTAGATGGGCTTTTACATCAATGTAACCATTCAGTAGAGTACAGATTGATGTTCATGTTTTTTTTTTTTTTTTTTTTTTTTTTTTAAATGGATAGATCTTTTGTTTTACTACAAACAATAAAATATATTGAGATGGAAAAAACATTGTTGTTTTCGTATTTCTTTCTCGTGCTGTGGCAGCTTTGTATGACTGTCAGCTGCTGTGTGCAAATACTGCACACCTATTTGACCTCTCAGGGAAAACAAGGTTGAGTGGCTTGGAAATGTATGCTGTCCGTGACGTTTACGTGTCACGATAAAATTTAGATCAGACAACAAATAAAGCATTGTGAGGTTTTTATTTGTGCTCAGTGCTGTGATATGAGCAGTTTCTCACCACTAGCTCTCTAAATTCAAGGTTGTTACGGTCCGTTCTGTATTTGTGTATGTTACTTTCTTGCATGTGGAATGCAAGATACTGAAGAAGAGCTAGATGCGCTAACATCTGGTAAATGTTCTATCTGAAACAAACTATTGAGAGCTCCTCTTTCCACGAGTCCAAAAAAGGCCGTCCCTCTGCAATCTGATGCCTTCATAGATGCTGTGTAAAGGTGAAATTATTTATTCCTATTCTCTCTCTTGCTCATTGTGTTATAAACATTTGTGCTCTATTTTGGGAAGCACAGAGGATCGATTTTATAGTTGAAGATGAGTTTGGAATAAGATACTAGTGTGTACTGTACATTACTTCACACTGCTTGCTATTTTGTCTATAAGGAATTGATCGGCTCATAACAGTATGGTAATGATGTATTGTGCATCCAATGTAATGCAATCTTTTGGTAGTCAGATTAAATAGTGAGTTAAGATGTTAAAACTCCTGTTTCATCACTGGCAGTGTGCTTTATATACTAAACAAGTGTAGATCAGTGTACCATGAATGCAGACATTTTGCATAAATTATAGTGCACAAATGGTAAGAATAATATGCAGTTCTTCTCAGGGCTCTGTGTTAAAGGGATACTCCACTTGTTTTGGGAAATATGCTCATTTTATAACTCCCTCAGAGTTAAACAGTTGAGTTTTTACCATTTTCAAATCCAATCAGCCGATTTTCTGATATTTAGAAGAATATCAGTAACCAGACAGTTTCTGGTCCCATTGACTTCCATAGTATATATTTTTTCCTACTATGGAAGTCAATGGGACCAGAAACGGTCTGGTTACTGATATTGTTGTAAATATCAGAAAATCGTCTGAATGGATTCGAAAATGGTAAAACTCAACTGTTTAACTCTGAGGGAGTTATAAAATGAGCCGATTTCCCTTTAACATGTTCAGATCCGTATGATTGATTGTGGGTTATGTAATGTTGGATCTCAATTGTAAAAGGCTCCTCTTCCCATATCTGTTTATTGCACCCATATGTGGGGGATGGAGACTTGATGATGTAACACAAGAAAAGGGGTGTGTTACATTTAAGCCATCTGCTTTCTGTTAACACATTATACAGTGAGGAATGAGAACAGCGAGTGGGTTTCCCCCCTCACATCTGATGATCTAAACCACTGTACAGACCTTTAGAATAGCAGCTCTTAGTGCCTACAAATACTCACTTTAATCAGCTTGTCTGCAAAGCCTCGGTTGTAGGTTCCTGAAACACACTCCTGGTGATGATGTGGGGGGCGAAATGTGTGTGTTAGCTCTCTGAGAAAGTGAGGAGCTAGACAAATAACATAACAATGGACTGAATCAATAATATAACCCAAAAAGGATCACATAATAAACATTATGCATCAAATAAAATCCTGTTGGATCGACAAAAATTCCTATTTTTATTTATCAAGTTGGATATGTGTAGATTGCTTTTCCCCTTTTCAGTAGGGTACTTCCAATTTAAGTACACTAACATTCAAAAGTTTTTTTATTTTATTTAATATGACACATTAAAATTTTATTTATTTCTGTGATGGCCATTACTCTCTTCAGCATCATATGATCCTTCAGAAATAATTTTAATATGCTGATTTGCTGCTCAAAAAAACATTTTATTATCAATGTGAAACTCATGCTGCTTAATTTACTTGTGTGAAATGTGATACTTTTTCCCCCAGAATTCTTTCATGAGAAATTGTTTGTAATATTAAAAATGTCTTCACGCCACCAATTTAATGTCATTGTTCAATAAATATGTACTACAGTAAATAGCCTATTATGTCTGATTACATGCTATTAACTCTAAACCTAACCCAGTAGCACTTTATTTTACAGTCCTGTTCCCCACGTACATACTGTGTACTTATTATAGCAATTACAATAACTGGTTAATAACTAGGTACTAACCCTGAACCTACCTCTAAACATAACCTTAATCCATGTAGTTACTTTATATTACCCAGTACTTGGATAAGTACACATAAGTGCGACCCCAAACCCTGTTCCTAACCCTAACCCTATAGTAATGATGATAATTAGTATTACTCAGTTCTCAAATGTATAATTAAAATGTATCAAGGACCCCTTAAAATACGGTATACCCTAAACGTACTAATTTCTTTCAGAGTAGTGAACATTATCAAAAAAGAACTAAAGCAAATGAGTATTGACCCACTACCATCTCACTGTTAACAGCTTTATACTTTTAAGCACAGTGACTGGCATCTATTCTTGACACACAAAGGTGCTTGTGAGCTATAAATACCCTTTCTAGCACATTCTCTATTAGCATCTCTCTCTCTCTCTCTCTCAGACCCTAGAGTTCAGCCCATTAATCCAGGAGCAGAGAGGAGAAAAGGTAGCAGCCATGAGCTAAAGCACAGCAACTTGAGCGCAAAGAGGGCTTGTGCTGGCGATACTTTAGGCCGTTAAAACACCTACACAAGCTTAGTTTAGCAGTTAGGACCGCCTCGCCGTCAGTGTGTTTACGCAGGTTACGTAGTCGGATTACTTTTTTCCAAGTAACTAGAAAAGTAACACATTACTTTTAAAATGGTAACACAAGATACTTGTTTTCCCATTTATTGACTTGCACCTTTTCTGTCCGCGTGTTGACAGAAATCAAGAGTAAGTGCAGAGGTGTTGTGTGCGCTGTGTAAACATGATGGTTCTTGTAGTTGTCGACTAAATGTGAGCATGTAGTAACTCATCCCACTTGCACAAAGTCAGATTTAGTATTCCTCAAAATTGATAATAGGAGTGAAATGCAAACCCAGAACATTGTGCAAAGTTGCAAAAATTAAACATTAAATAACACTCATACCTGTATAATTGATGTATTTAATATCACTTTATTAATCAATCTCTTTGCTGTTGATCTTTGATCCAATTCAACCATGTAACAAGTATAGTGATTTTAGTTTACCCTCTGGGGTTCTTCGGGTCAATAATGACCCGAAGCGTTTAAATAAAAAAATGTTAAAAATCGTAGCTTCATCGGAATGGTCCGAAACTTGGTGACTTTAATGGTACTTGGTATATGAACACCCAAAATAATTGGGGACAGGATTTGAAAAGTCTAAGTGGTCGTAAAAAAAAAATAGTCACACTCAGGACCTTCGGGTCAAAAATGACCCGCATAGGAAATGAATGGGAAATTGGCAAAAACATAAAGTTTTTTTTAAAGTTTTTTTGTGTGTGTACAATCTACAAATCAGCAACGATCTTGGAAAAAAAGCACAAAACAGTGAAGGGGTGAATCTATAAAACATCAAGAGTGCAAAACAGACACACACACACACACACCTTTATGCACAAACACACCAAAAAATTCAGATTATACATGTTTTGCATTTTTAAAAAGCTCAGTTTGTCCACGAGATGGCATCCATCTAATTTCAAAAATTGCTTTTATGAGGCCTAGGCTTGCCTCCAAAATGAAATACAGCTTTAAAATTTTTTTTTAAAAAAATTTAAATTTTTTCTATTATATTCAATGGGGGAAAATTTGGTCATAATTATTGCATTAATACTAATTATACATTTTTGTATTTTTGAAATTTTCTCAAAACACCAAAAAAGAAAAGAAAAAATATTATAAAAAACAAGTAAAAAAAAAATTATGATTTTCTTTTTTAAATATGAATCCCGCCCAGAGTTCCCGACCCAAAGTTCCCGAGTGTGACTGTTAAACGAAGAACCCCAGAGGGTTAAACATCACATTTGTGTGTTGTTGTTTTTTTTTATTGCTCAAGTAAGAGTGGTGAAATTTCTTCTCTTGCATATCCTGTTCCTCTGCATCTAGAATGGCAGCACAGTCGGGCACAGCTGGTTTGAGCTGCACCCTCTAATAGTAATAATAATAATAGTTACATTTCCTTCAGCCTGAGGCTTATTCATTGCACTTTTGTCATGTAAGGGCCTTTAGTACAATTACCAAAAGTTTAACTGGAGCAATGTTAAAGTAATGTAACACTACCTTGTACCTTCCACAAAAAGTAACTACTTGATTATTACTGGAGTAACAAAATTACTTTTATAAGTAATTTTCTAAATTATTGCTCGCCGTGTACAGATACGAAACCAAGCACAATTCAAACATTAGTAGAGACAAACTTCTGTTTTGAAGTTTTTGATCTCAATACATTATTCACATTCTGAATAATGTGAACATTTTAGAATAGATCATTAGCTCAGTAAAACAATGGCAGTCAATGGAAGGTCTCCCCCTTGACAGGAAAACAAAGGCGTGTGTGTGTTTGATCCATGTGTCTTTGGTGGATATCATGAGCTCACAGGGAAAATATTGTTCTGTAAAAAGGAAGCAGGTTGATGCTTTTCCATGACTGAAGTTATTAATAGTAAAGGCACTGGTGTGTAAATGTCAGCAGGTTATAGTGAGCTACATTGTGCATTGTGATTTTATTGTGGAGTGTGCTATAACATTTTTTTAGCTTGTAACTTTTGTCAAAGAAAATAACATAATGAGATGAGGATAAACCTTGTTTCGGTGATGGCATTCTGATTGGCACAATTATGATAAACTCATAAGCCGAGTCGTATCTCCAGGTCATTAATGATGATCTTATATCTTTGAGAAGCTCATTGTTCAGCTTGCTTTTGGTTTGTTTGGTTTAAAAGGCCTCAAGCCAGTTGCGATATTTTGTTAATGTTTTCACATCTTTAAGTGTTTGGTTCAAGTCATTTCATTTCTCCG